AAGGCACGTGGATGGGAGTCCCCACAACCAAGCCAAACCCAAACATGGCCTGGGCCATTCAAGGACATAGCCAGGGGGGGACAAATGATCCCTGAAAAATAATCTCCTTAAGTCAAGGTTTTAGGCCTGAGGAAAACTAGATGCCCAGAGAGAAACAGATCCTGTGAACAAGGGATTTGGGTGTGGCCCAGCTGGGACTTCCCTCTGTCAGTGTCAGAAGACAGAGGAACTTTCCAGAGGCAGGAAGAACTTCCCCTAGAGATGAAGTCCCCTTTCCTGGGGAGAGGGTGGCTCAGGAAACAGCATGATGGCTGCTGGCCAGGGGTTAGGGGCACTCAGATTGGGGATCTGGCTTTGAGGCATCTACTGGGGTTGGTTCATAGTTCAGGCCAAGTTGAGCCATTGCCCTGTCCAGTGTCAGAAGTGCCCTTGCCCCCCAGGCACTGGCTGTTGGATTCCATGTTATAGGAGGAGTCAGAAACCCATCTTTGTCATTGTCACTGGCTAACTCATGCCCTTGCTGCCATTCAGCCCAGCCTACACCACCCCCACCCCCAAGTTCAGTTCTGGGATATGGACCTGAGTGTGGTGGGGGAGGAAGGATCTGAGGGGACCCAGGATTCGATCCCTCCTCTGGACTTGGGGGCTCAGCCTCTCTCCCCATCCCTTAGGGTTCTCCTGGGAATGAATTGAGATGTCAGCTGTGCTGGAGGCAGCACTCCAGGCTGCGGCACCCCCACCCTCTAGGGTGCCACAGGTAGGGCCATAGGGGCTGGCCTCTCCCCGGCACAGTGCTGGCAGCCCTAGCCCTAGATGCTTGGCCATGCAGTAGTGGACACAGCATTCCTCAGATCCCTGTTTTGGTGGCCATGTAGCAAAAGTTGGAAATGTTGTCTGGCTCTGACTGGCTTGGCTGAGGGAGGTACCCCACATGCCCTTTGGTTGTCGCTCTTACAGTGCACTGCTCCTTTCTCACATGTGGGACCATGCTCACTCCTATTTGAGATCCATTGTTGGGCTTCTGGTGGAATGTCCACTCCCTGAGGGCAGGGACATTGATGTGGTTCTTGCTGTGTCCCTAGTACCTAGTAGGTGCCAACTAAATCATCAGTAAATGAGGGAATGGTGTAGCCCTGGACACCTGGAGTACCCTGGGGACCAGCATCTCCCACCTCACATGTTACAAGAGGGGAACTGAGAGGCCCTAAGGTGCAGATCATTGCACATCCCTGCAGATGAGGACAGCCTACCTACACTGGGGTCTGGCCAAGTCCCCACCACCCTACCTAGCAGGCACACTACCGGGGCCACCTTCGCCCCCTGGTGGCAGAGCAGGGAGCAGGCCAGGCTGCTGACAGCAACTGGTGACACATGCAAAGGAAGACAGAGTGGGAGATACACTTCCGGTTCATGATGACACTTCTGAGCAGTTTGTACTTAACCCTTTAGGGAATGTCTGAGCTCAGAACTCTAGTGGCGGGACTTCCTCAGGGACACACAGACACTCACCCTGGACAGAGCATGCCTAACTGCAGATGGGGTCTGAACTCCACGTTGCAAAGACACTAAGCACATGGAACCAGGGTTAGAAATGGCACTCGGAACAAAGCAAGCACACATTGACAAAGTGGCCCATCTCCAGAGAGCTGTGTTTCAGAGAGCTTTTCAGCATATACAACAGGGGCAAACAAGTGCTGATCTGTCTCTCCCACAAACTAAGAAGGTTGTGTTTTTTTAAATGACATTTATTGTAGCAGCTGTAATGCGTCAGGAGTATCATTTTTTATAGAGTATCACTGTAATAGTCCTTTAACTATTTTCTGGCCCTTGAAAAAGCATAAAAAACATCAAAGTACTAAGGAAATCAAATTCACACAGAAATGAATCTTTTCCTTTGCTAACAAATTGCATTGTAATTTCACTATGCGAGCATGAACTTGGGGTGAAATAAACTTTTAAACTTGTCATCAGTCCTGCCCCTGACACCAGTAGCAGCCCCTCCAAGGGGGTAGGGGACAGGGGGTGAGTGGGGGTACATAATGGGGCCTCCATGGCCCTCAGGGTCCAGCTTCTTCATCCCAAGTGGGGTGGGGTCCCTACCCCCTGATCCCAGTAGCACCTCTCTTCATGTCCAGTGAGCAGCTCTGAGCTGACTGGGTTTGTTGGGAGAAGAGGATGGTGTGGTTCAAATGGAGGAAGTGATGTTGGGTGCTAGACAAACTGGGGGCAGGACTGCCTGCCTCTCCCTGAATAGCTTTCTTTGGGGGGAAATGTAAACCCAAAGTTCAACGAGGCCAAGGAATGGAGCCAATACACATCAGGGACATTTTCAATTATCAGACACATGGAGCCCATTGGCCAGGGGATGTGAGGTCCAGGCTTCCCTGCAGGATGACATGGTCCTGTTAGCATTTCTGAGGGGAACCCAGCCACAGTGACAGGGTGTGCTAATGCCTTCAGGCAGTACAAACAAGTGTTCATGTGGCATCTACTGGATCTGCCTGTAGTTGGGCCCTGTGTTCTTCCCCTGGGTTGCCCCATAGGCCCACCCACCATGTGCCAGGCCTGGGCCAGGACATTCTAGGTGATGCCAAACAGCCACAGGAAGAGTGTCTTTGGCAGGGGGACAGGTGAAAGAGAGCACAGAACATTCTGCGACCATTCAGGGAGGAGGTTAGATGACATCCAGGTGGGAGACATGACTGGGGCTTGGGGATAGGTGGCAGAGATGGCCAAGAATGGGCAGAGTGACTGGCAGATTGCTAAGGATTTGGGGGGGGGTGTCAAGTATGGCTAATGACCCCTGTCCCAGCTACCTGCTGGCCTGTAAGGCTCACTCCCGTCCTCCCCCCAGCCTTGTGGCTGCCTTCTGTTGTCCACTTCCTAAGTGTATCCTGCAGACCCCAAGGGCTTCTCCTCAGTGCCGCTTTGTGCTGACCAGTCCTGCCAGAAGGAAGCTGTTTGGTATTACCAGAGAGGTTCCCAAGACTCTGACTATGGCAGCCATTCCTTGTTCACCAACATCTTGCATTTTGTGGACTTCTCTGACAACTGCTGGTTAATTGGAAGAGGTCCCGCTTCCTCAGCCAGGCGCTCCAGGGCACTGTCCTGCAGCCCCCATTGAGCCCGACTGTTCTTCCTGCCTTGGCCACAACACGCAGGTCTCTTGGCATGTGGGCCCCTCCTGTCTGGCTCTTTCCCACTGTCCTCTTGCATCTCCTACCTCAGGACCTTCCCTAAATGTCAGCCTGGTGGCTCCTGCCTTGTCACTCATACACAACTCCTCATGTGCATCTCTTCCATGTTACAAGCAACGGGGGCCCAGACGGTCTTGGTCACACTCCTGTCAGCAGACCTGGCTGGCAACAGGCTCTGTAAAGTTGTCTGCAAGGCCTGCTTGGGGATGTGAGGTGGCCGCTGGGTTTCTACGATAACATCCCTTCAGGTGCTGGGTTCTGGAAGTTGCATGGACAACAGGAGCAAGATGGCTGTGGAGGCTGTCTGTGGGAAAAGTCACTTACTTCCATGTTAGGATGAGGTCCCAGGTCCCCAGGAGGCTGCCAGGCGCCCAGCCCCAGGTGGCCAGGGCCAAGGTGACTTATGGCGAGGGCCACTTCCATGAAACAGCGGCCATCTCAGGACCAGCCTACTGGTTCCACAGTGGGCCTGTGGCTGTGCTATGATTGAGTGAGCTCAGGACTAGCTTCTTGCACAAGGGCTGTGAGGCTTACATTGAAGGAAATGACATACAAGCCGATGACAGAGGAGCAGTCCACCCCAAGTGAAAAAACTGCCTGAGCCCAGGTTGGTGAGGTTGGGGCAGACGGAGCCAGACAGATAGTTGGGGGTGGCAGGGTCACTGTGCTGGGGGGTGAATCACCCACACATCCAGTGGCCAGCAGTTCAGCCCCAGGACCATGGCCCAAAGGAGTCCTCAGATGTGCTTCCGGGAGAGGGCAGTGGAGGACACCTGGGCATCATCTTGAGGTGCAGGGACAAGAGTGACTCAAGGGCTTTAATGCAGCACAGGCGGCAGCCCAGAACCATTGTTGCATGTTAAAACCTCAGCACAACCCAAGAGAACTGAATACACATGTTCAAACAAAAATGTGTGGGGCACATCCACAGCAGCACTGCTCACACTCACCACAAGGGGGAAGCAGACCAAATGCCCATTGCCGGATGAAAGATGAACAAAATGTGATCCATCCATGCAATGGAATATTACTCAATAATAAAAAGGAGCAAAGCACAGACACTGGCTGCAACGTGGTTGAACCTGGAAAACATACTAAGTGAGAGAAACCAGACACAAAAGGCCACATGTATGACTTCATCTATATAAAATGTCCAGAACAGGCAAATCCAAAGGGACAGAAAGCAGATCAGTGGTTGGAAGGGGGTTGGGGAGGGGAAATGGGGAGTGATGCTAATTAGGTCGGGGGTTCCTTTTGAGGTGATGGAAATATCCTGGAACTAGATAGAGGAGCTGGTTGTACATTGGCCCAGCTGGCACTTAAATACATTGTGAATGTCTTTAATGCCACTGAATTGTACACATTAAATGGTTAATTTTATGTAACTTCCACCTCAAAAAGAAAAATAAAAACCTGAAAAAAAACCCACACAGGGAATAAGACACCAGGTGTGTAAGGGTCTGTCTGTGGCGAGGGCCAGGGAGAAACAGGTAGTGCTTTTGGGTCTCTCATGTGATGTCTCAGGGGTTCCCTCTTCTCCAGGCAGGGCTGGACCAGAGGAACATCATCAACAGAAGGGAAGACTCAGGTTTCCATCAGGTCCTTCAGTCCAGGTATGGGCTCTGCATCCTCATGCCCAGTCAGTTAGCAGAAGTCCCTGCAGCCCTGTTGGCAGGGTGGGGTGGGCAAGAGCCCATCTGGGGTGGTGCAGGAGAGGGGCAGAAGGCAGGACACAGTGAGTGTTGGCTCCTGCAAGTGATTTTCCTTTGAATACAAAGGAAAAGAAATCCACAAACAAGAAGCTAAGTTCTATGGTTATGTATTTTAAACAATGTTTTGCATTTATAAATTTTTGTTTTCCTGATTAAAAGCACCAGCTGAAGTTACAGGCTGCTAAAACCATATTACAAACCTGTTAAAAGACATTATGTCAAACATACTTATTAAAAACCCTTTAACAAAAGAGACAATGCAACCAAACTTACCCACCATGCCAGGCAGTCCTTATCCTAGTTCCCTGCCTGTACTCCCAGTAAGTGGGATGGGGAGTGCTTACCCCAGAGAGATGATTCTCACCCAGCCCATGGGTGCCTGCAGGGACCTGGTAAGGGAAGGCAGCTGTGTATTTTCGAGGGAACACAGGGGCACCTCCTGGACCAGCACCCCAGACCTGCAGGCCCAGGGCCACTACTGCTGGCAGGAGGTGGGAGGAACGAGGGTCTAGCCAGCTTTCAGCAATTGACCTGCCAACAGGAACTCCTGCTACTACTGTGCACCCTGTAAGCTGAAGTTTAGAGTTTTTAATCTTTTTCTAAACACTTAGCTATATGACTCTTCTGCAATGTCTCCCTGGTAGCTTGCTTGCTTGTCTTAAATTCTTATGACTGAGAAACTGTGAAGCACCAAAGGTGGACTCACAGAAAGGTATGTATGGCAGGTTGATATAACTGAAAGATGCTGCAGTGAAGGGGAGGTTCACAACTACACAGGCGGTTTGACTTCTGTAAAGCTACAGTGGAATATTAAATATTGAGTACTGAACTTTTAACTGTAAACTTAAGAACTTTTTCTTAACCTTACACATACATAGATAACAAAGCGGTCACTAAAAGCACTTTAACATCAGAACAGATGTTAAGTTTTGAGGTTCTTATTTCAACTGCTCTACATACAAAATGCCCGAGAAGCAAAGAAAGGCTTAAATAAATACGCAGAGATGAACATGATGTGCAGTGTGAATGAACTAATGTGGGTCTGGAGAGGCTAGACAGCATGGAAACCAGGCTGGCAGGTGCAACTTATGACAAGACAGGAGCTCCACCCTTGGGTTGAGGGGAAGGTCTGGGGGACAGCCTTGAGCAGGGAGGAAGACAGAATGAGACAGCTTGTGGCCGGGCTTACACTCTCCTCTACAGGCCTCACAGGTCCAGGGGTGTCAGCCAAGGGGGCAGCCCTGGGCAGCATGAGACAGGGCCAGGCTTTTCTGGGTGAAGCAGAAATGGTAGGTCCTCTTAGGACAAGCCCCAGTCAGCCCATCTCTCTGACTGGCAGCTCACCTGTTCACCTATCACTGGTCCCCAAATGGGTAGCAGGGTGCTGCCGCCAGTCTGGTAAGGGCAGTGGCCCAGCACAGGGTGATTTGCTGACAGCCCTGCTTGTGGCTAAGGCACACCCAAGCTCAGGGCCCTAGCAGCTACCTGAGCAATCCCAGATCCCAACGTTCCTTCTGTCACAGATACTGAGACTTCGAGAAGCAGCCTTCACAGTGCAAGGGTAACAAAACTCGAACTAACAAGCCACCCTGGCCAGCAAGATCACTCACCACCCCTCAGCAGGGCGCTGCTCCCAGACACCAGAAACTGGAGGGGGTGGTTGCCTCGACTGCCCCCAATTCCACCATCACCACTGGGGCACATCCTAGACTAACCAAGAGGAGCTCAGAACCGAGCACACTGTCTGGTCCAGGCAGAACCACCTGGGGTCCAGCTCAGGAAGAGGTTTCAATGCTCTCCTGAGACCCAAGGCAAGTAGGTCTCCTCCTCTTCCTCCTTCCTGAGGGCAGGGTCAGCTGAACTTCAGGCATCTGCAAATGTCCTCTGCCGAGGAGGCCGCAGAGCTGTCCCAGCCCCTTTGTTCGGCACCCTGAGTTGGGCTGAGAAGGGTCCTCTCCCCTCTCCCATGCTTCCTACTCCACAGTATGGATGCTGACAAGGAAAGGCAGCTGGTGCAAACAGGACTCTCACTCAGCTCTGGCTCCAGCTCTGAGAATCAACACACATGCACACACACACATGCATACCCATGTCTGTAGCACAGGCACCCCCACAGCCAGTCAGTAATCCAGTCAAGGTGCATAAGTTTGGAAGGTGAGTTCCTGGGTCACCAGGGCCCCTGAACAGAGGCCCCAGCTGTCAGAAGGATGGACGCTGGAGAGAAAAGCAAGCTGGGAAAAGCATTGTAGCAGGACGTGCATTTTTGTCCCTGACATGTGCCATCACTTCCTCCTTCCGATTTTTGGCCAGAAAGCAGCGTCTTGCCTCTGGCCTCTGGAAGCTGCCGTGAGAGCAGAGGAAACACTCCAGCCTGGCACAGAAGCCCAGGCCATGGAAGTCACGTGGAGATGCCCCAGTGGTGCTGCCCACTCCAGCACTCCCTGCACAGACATGCTCCCCGCCAAAGGTGTGACTCAGATGTGTAGCAGGACTGGCAGTTCAAGTCCACTTTAAAGGATGGCTCTGGAAAGTCGGCTCCAATATCCCATCTGCGAACCTCGGCACTGGGGTCCTGGTGCACAACAGGAATGCTGGCCGGCCCTTCCTGGGAGGGTAGGAATTGGCCCAGCACAACCCCAGGGAGCTGGAAGCTCTGGAGACAGTTGGGAAAGAAGCCTGGGAGCGCCATGACAGCACGCCTCCGAGGAAAGCTCAAGTGCCATCTGGGTGGAAGTCAGGAGCACATCAGGCCCCAAGGAGGCCCCGAGAAGCTGGGCAGCGCCCTCCTGGGGGCCTCACAGGAGGCTGGCCAGGCTGGTGTTGGGTCCATTCTGAGCTTGGAACTGCACAGGAGGCGGGCCGTCTGTCCACTGCGGGAAGAGAGGACACACAGGTGAAGTCCTTCCTAGGGACAAGCAGGGTATGCCGGGCCACGTGTCTCCATCTGGAACGCTGCCCTCCTCGGGCTGGTCAGCCAGTCAGGGCCCTCTGTGCTCCACACTAGAGTCAGGTGGGCCCTGGGAAGCACCCTATATCACCCTCTTGGGTGTCTAGTGCCATTTCCCATATCCAAGGGGCACTTGAGGCCAGGCCAAGTTAGGGTTTGATGGAGAGAGGTAGGGAGATGGCAGCCAAGCGTGTACTTCCTCCTCAGGGAGTCTGCCCCACACTCTGGGGGCTGCAGGCCAGGTAAGCCAGCCCTGAGGAGCCAACAGCACCCCCCTTCTGTCTCTACCCTCCCTGTCCCCAAGCCTGTACCGTGATGAGGTTGTGCTCGGGGAGGCTGCAGGCTTCGATGTGGTCCTGGAGCAGCTGCTGCGAGAAGTTCTGGTGCATCTGGGCAGCTTCATGGGCATCCATAGCGTTCCCGCAGGCCTTGTTCAGGTCTGAAGGTGGGATGCACACAGGGTGAGCCCACCTTGCCCCACCACTGCTCCCATGCCCTCTCTCGGGTGTAAGTGGAGGGCATGGCTCAAACCCAGGCTCCATCAGTGCGTTCCTGTGCACTGGAAATGTCACCTGCCCTGAGCCCTGTCTTGGGGTCAGCCAAGCCCACCTGCCAGCAGCCCTCACCGTTTCCTCATGAGTTCCTGAGTTATGTATCCTTGGAGGTGGGTGAGCAGTGGGACACACAGGGGCATACACAAAGTCTGGTCAGGCAGTGAAGGCCTCCAGCATACAGGAGCTTGCTAGAGTAGGGCACCAAACATCCACTTCTGAGGCAGGAGGACTGAATGGGCCCACCAAGCCCAATGCAGACAGGAGCAGCCTGCCTCCTGCATCCTCCCCAGGGCCCAGGGTGAGTCTGTAAATGGGGGGGCAGCAGTAACAGTGCTGTGGCCTGCTGAGTGCCTGCCCTGCGCCCTGAGCATCCTGGCCTGGCCTGCCTGATGGGATGAGGTTGGGCGCCAGAGTTCACAGCCAGATGTTCACCCAGATGCCAAGAACCAGCCTCGTGGGTCCCAGAAAGGCCGCACCAGACCCCATGTTGAGATGACCCCATGAACGAGTCCAGTGCCCACTGCCCACTGCCCTCAAATGGCCTCCCAAGAACCTGAGAATGTCCTAGACATGGGGCTGTGACCTGTAGAGGCCGGTCTGAGCAGAGATTGAACAGAGCTTACTCAGCATCTCTGCTCTCTGGAAAGGGCCGGCTGCCACACTCACCTCTCAGCAAGGCCGACGACCACAGCTGCACCGACATGTCCGGGATCTTGCTAGCCAGCTGCATGGCGGGCACCACCATGTTGTTACTCTCCTGTCAACCAAGAGCAGCCAGGGAATGGCGGGGAAATGGGACAGGCACCAGGGACAGCCCAGGCCCCACCTGCCATACCTAGCCCAGGCTGTGCCCTCCTCCTGCTGCCTGGCAAACTCCCACTCCTCCTTCACAGTCCATCTCACATGGTCTCTATTAAGTACTCCTCAAGTACCTTGGGGAAAAATTAACTGCCTTCACCCTTTGGCTCTCTGTGTGGGGCACGGCTGTCGAGGCAACTCCACGTGCCAGAGAAGACACTGATGGCAGTCAGCTCTGAACCCAGAGCAGGAGCCGATTAGAAAGGCAGATTCCAGAGTCCCAGGCAGGGCCTGGGAAAAGGCAGCAGAGTGGACAAAGGAGGGAGGAGCCCACTCCCGTGGGAGGCGACCTCAGACACAGGGGGCTGTATGCCACCAGGACACTGTGTTAACCCTCCAACCCTGACTGCACAGTGATGCCAACCCCAATTCCCAAGATGAGCTAAGGGAGAGCCATTGGGGGCCATAAACACCCATCCCCGACCCCACGGTGACCGGCAACACTGCTCCATCCTTGCTCATGGACCACAAACCCACTGGCTGGAATTTGGGTTCAGAGTGATATTCGGGGAACTACCTACACAGCAGCCTAGGAGACACTTGGCACGTAGCTGAGCAACTTACAAATCCTCAAAACCAACTCCTGAGGCCTTGCTTCAACATAGCCATGGGTATGCGGGCACTCTTCCGTAGAGACACAGAAGCCCGGTGACTTCACACTCTCCTGACTGGCACCTCGAAGATGAGCTCCAGTGGATCTCAAAGCTTTTCAAGACTGAACCAAGACCTTCCAAGACCTCCGAATGCACAGCACAGCAGGAAAAACCACCCTCCTCCTCCTCGCCTGGGGCTGGGCCTGTCGGGAAACCACCTGAGGGAGTGTACCCTTCGGCTCTCCCAGGCAGGCTTCCCTATACCAGCTTGGGGTTGCCCCGCAGAATTTGGTTTTGAAGATGTGTACGATCCTGAGGTGTCCTGAGTGAGGCCGCCCACAAATCGCAATGCCCATGAATAGCCTAACAGGCCCAGGGCGGGGTTGGCTGTGTCTGACAGTGTCTCCTCCAGACCTAGAGTTGCTTGAGACCAATCCTGGGTCTGGGGGCTCTTGGGGGCCCATGTCACCCCAAATGGGCCCAGGCACACAAGGAGCAGTGCAAGTTCCCAAATAAGCTCTGTAAGATGCCCCGGGATAACCCCAAACATGAACCAGAGCTGTAGCTAAAGACCTGCTTTGCCCACCCTGCCCCATTCAAGGTGGCTTCTAGAGACTTCTAGATAAACAAGAGCCAGGGAGGTCTGGTTCTAAGCTTGGGTCTGTCTGTGTGCCTTTACTCTCCCCATCTGGAAATGGAATAATCATAGCCGCCACACTGAGACAGGCACGCAGCCCATATTCAGTAGGACCTTGTGCAGCCCGAGACACACACCAAGGCCACTATTCTCACTGTGCTCAGAGACTGAAGGGCAGGGTGACAAAATGTTCTAGAAGGAGCAGAGCTACCCTCAGAAGAGAGAGCCCAGAGCTCATCTTCATCCTTTGGGGGTGGTGACATCCCTAACATTCAGGCCATGGCCACCAGGACTTGAGCAGCAGGGCCTGATGGCCTTGGCAAATACTTGTCACACGGTTGTGGGGAGGGGGACCTGACAGGCTCATTAAAAATGCTCATTCTTAGGGAGCCCCGAAGTTTGATCAGATGAAACTTTACAGGCCAAGACATCTGACCAGTGTCATCTGACCAGTGAGAACAGCTCATGTGAGGTTGGCTAAACTATACAGCAGATACCGCTTCAAAATTCTCACTGCCATTCAAAGAAGCTCTGATACAGTGGTGCAGAGAAGGACAAGGTGTAAAATTATAAAATAGCCTAATAAATAAAACCTATGTGTGGGCAGAAGTGGGTGGTGAAAAGACCTGGAAGACAGAGGACTTGTATTGATTTTCAACTTTGCTTCTCAGAATTTCTACGATGAACACATCATATTTTATAAGTGGACAAATGTTTTCTTTAAAAAAATTAAAGGCCTTGTGAGGTCAATGGGTGAGAGCAGGCATCGATGCACACCCGATGGGAAGATTCGGGGTTGGCTGATCCTACCAGGACCAGCCCCAGGGTCCACTCTGGGTAAAGATGGAAATAAGGGGATACTGTGTGTACTGGGCAGAAAATGGAACCCAAGGGATTCTGACTGAGAGGATACCTGTCTGTTCCAGGTGTTAACACACAGGAAGGAGAACCTGCCTTAGCCCTGCCAGCTCCAGGCAGCCCCATGAACCCACCCTCCTGCCCCCCAGGCTGAGTAAACCAAAGCATCCCTACCCTCGCCTAGGCTCATTAAACGGTGGGGACCGGGGCGGGCCACTGAGACAAAATCATTGAGGGGAGGGCAAAGGATAAAAATCACTAATTGGTGGTAACCCGCCTCCCCAAGTACCATGATGGTCCCCTGCCCCTCAGCCCAGCCCCCGACACTCACCCTGTGGTTCCCCAACACATAGAAGATGTGGCCCAGGAGCACCAGGGAGCAGGCCGTGAGCCGGTTCAGGTCCTCCGCATTGGACATCTTCAGAGTTTCTCGCAGAAACCGCCTGCATGAGGAAAAGACTGTGGCTCCATCAGAACGCCTTTGGGAGAGGAAGAGGCAGCAACAGCCTCATGGCCCCAGGCAGAGGCCGCCTAGTTGGGGGACAGAGGGCCTGGGCACACACTGTTGGGGGAGAAAACCACCCAGATGGCCAGCCCAGGCCACCCGACCTCTCCAGCACTCACTTGGCCTCATTGTAGCGTCCCTGGAAGAAGGAGAAGAGCCCACGCACGTAGAAAGCCGCTGCTCGGAGACAGTGTGAGCTGGGGAGGAGAGTGGAGCATCATACCTTAGTGGGGTTCTTGTGAACGCAGGCTTACAAAAAGGGAGTGGACAGGGCAGGGGGGAATGATGGTGGTGGTGCGAGGTGCTGGGGTAACAGGGCAGCCAGGGTCACTGGCTTAACCCGGAGAGCAGAAAAAACATAAGGCAGCTTGGAAAGTGGGGCCTCGGCGCACAGCCACCTACCTGACAGGGAAGCTGTGGTCGGGGTTGATCCTCTCCAACAAGCTGTACAGCTGTGAAAGAAACATCAGTTGGGATCACTCTGCATTTCTAAACGTGGGAGAGTTTCGCTCCAAATATGCTACCAAATTGACTAGGGCTGCCTGAAACTTCCTGATCCAAGCTGACCGCGTCATACCCTCACCCCAAATCCCACGCCTCAGCAACCTACCAGGAGAGGGGGCCGGACCTGCGAGGACAGGTGAAGGAACTACAGGACACTGCACAGGCTGCTCACTTTCTTATATCCTCATGGGAATCATGCCTCTAGTGCAAAGGGTCTAGGGTAGGGTCCTTGCACCCAGTCTACCCTGCCCTGTGCCAGGTGAGGGGGTGAGGTCGCACGGTCAACTGTCCAGTCCCGGATTTTCTATGGTCAAAGGGGCCTGGCCTGGAGCGACAAGGTAGTAAGATGAGTCCACTTGGTCCTGGTGGGAGGGGATGGGGTTTATCTGGAGGTGCAGGGACCTGGGAGGCTCTGACAGGGAGTGCTATGACTGACGTTTTAGGTCATTTCTGGCTGCTCTGTGGAGATTGGGTTGGGGCTGAGGTGGCTCCTGGTCCCCTCACAGCCCCTCCAGGAGGTAGATTGGGAGTGGGGATGGGGATGGAGGGCAAAGACATAGGAGAGCCGAGCTCCCTCATGACCCGCCAAGTGTGACCCACAGAGCCCATGCCTGGCCCTCAGATGACTCTGCCCACTGCTTCCTGACTGCCAAGCAGCCAAGTCTGGGCTTTCTGCTCCCTGTAGTGCAAAACATCCAAACCAACCCAGAATCTGGGAAGTCAGCTAAGCTTTTTGTAGACAAGAGATGATGGTAGCCTGAACTAAATGAAGGCCGTGGGGTGGAGAGAAGTGGCTGAATCTGACACTCTGGAGGCAGGATCTCAGGGCTGAGGTGGGGGGAAGGGGGAGGAGGGTAGTGGTAGTGGTGGTGGTGGTGGTGGTGGTGGTGGTGATATGTGTGTGTGTGTGTCCCTCTCTCCTAGGGCTGAAGGGAATCCCAGGGCAGAGGAGCAGTTGCAGGGGAATCTGGTGTGAGCACACTTGTCCAGTGAGATGAAGCCCTGGGCACCCCCTCCCCATACCCCGTGATCCTGAGTCTGGGCCATCAGGACAACCTGGGGCCCAGTGCAGATGACTGCCCGAGTTGCTGCTCTTCAGAAGGGAACCACGAGGCTTCACTGTTGTTCTACAACAGACAGCTTAGGGTAGAAGAAACAGGATGTGCTCTGGGAGACTAAATAAGGCTTGGGTCGTTTTTAACAGGGAGAAGTGTAACTTGGCCAGGGAACGTTTCTGTTCCAGATGTGGCCTCCCCCCAGAAACGCCGCACTCTAAGGGCAGATAAGCTAGGGCTGCTGAGATGGCTGGTGCCCAGGACACTTCCCACCCCAGCCCCTGAATAAGAGTAGAAAGAAAGGATACCAAACATGAAGCATGTCACCTACTACCTCTTGGTGTCTATTTCCTTCCCGTATATACACACTCGCCAGGTTGGTCACGATGAAGGCCCACAGCTCCTGGTGGTTGGTGAGCTGGAACAGGGACACAGGGCATTAGGGGCCGCTCACAGCATCGGAGCCACCCAAAAGCTCCCTGGTGGCTACTGTGAAACCTCCTATTCTCTTCATCTCAGACACACACACCCCCGCCTCCTCCTAAACCCAAGAACAGTAGAGCTGTTAGTTCTTTTCACTATAAAATTGTCATCTGCATCATGAGAAATTTAGGAAACAGAAAAAGAAACCAATCGCCCTGATTCTGCCCTCAGAACACACTACATTTTGGTCTATTTTCTGCTTGTTTCTCAGGACTGAGACCTGGGCACCCCTCCCTCCGCACGTCTGGTGACCCTGGGATCCTGTGCTCACAGCAGAGGCACATGCCAGTCCTGGGGAGGACCCTGCCAGGAAAGGCCAGAGATGCTGCCAATGGCCCATGGTAGACAGACTGTTGTCCCCAGCTCTTCTTGGGGACTGAGAATGGCCAAGAGAGGGACTGATCTGAGTGGCCCAAGCATTACCCAGACCCTGGTTCCCAGCAGGGCTGAGCAATCATAGATGTGCAAGAGGTTGAGGGTGCCTGGGGAGTGCAGAACACACCCACAAGAGAGGCCCAGAGGGTCCTCTGATGCAGCAAAGATGCTCTGGTTCATTTGTTGTAGGACCACAGGAAGAGCTTGTGTTTAGGACCAGAGGAGTTGGGTCCTTATCCTGGCTGCACTGTTTCTCTGCCATTCCGTCCTGGCTGATGGGGGACTCCCTACGGCACACACAATCAGAGCAGCAGCCAGTGAGATGAGGGAGGCTAAGGGACCTTCATGGGCCTGTGGTAACTGCAGGCAGCATGGGACAGGTGTAGGGGTTCCTGGTAGCCTGAGCCGACTGGGGCCCAGAGGAGTGGGCATGAATGGAAGGTCCTGGAAGGCTGTGGGAGTGGGTACTGTGTCTATTCTTCACACTCTGGTGTGCTGCCTATACCCATAGCCATGTGGAGTATCCTGGAGCAGTAGAAATGCTGCCTGACCCCAACCCTGAAAGTGAAGATGTCTGGAGGATGGCATGAGAAGCAGATTGGAGCTCACTGTCTTAACAGTCAAGATGCGCATGACACCCCCAGTGACCTCACCTGAGTCACAGAGTCACCCCCACACCCCAACATCTCTGCCTGGGGCCTTCCCCAGGACCACTGGGAGAAAGCTGTCACCATCCTCCTTTTCCTGGGAGAACGTTAGGGACAAGGTGAGGATGTTCTTGTCTGGTCCTAGAGCAAGGTGGGCAGAGCTGAGACCTGCCACTGGGCTGTTGGCACCGGGTCTGTCGACTCCATGAGGACATGGCATCAGCCTTTTCTCAGGGCCCGATGGGGCCCCATCTGAGGCTAGGACACTCCCTAGTGGAGCTCCCTCCCAACCAGGCAGTACCAGGCGTCCTCTGTCCCCAGAGCACCCAGGTCGTCAAGCTGATACAGGGTTACAACATACCCAGCTTTGTGTCTCAGCTCTGCTATGGGGCAGCTCTGGGGAGCTCCTGAACCCCATTGAGTGACTGCATCTTCAGCTATAAAACAAGCCATCACCAGCCTGGTAGGCTAATGGGAGGGTTGGGAATCAGGAGTGAAAGCGGCTGAACAGGCTGTGACACCAGCAGGCGCCAGGCTCTCCCTGGTGGCTGCCTTCTGGTTTAGCAGGGGAAGCCCCACCCCAGGTTGACCAGGAGCCCCATGCCCATAGTTATCCCTTGACAGGCTGTGCTGCCAGCACTGGCCTTGTCCCCATATGAGAAGCACAGGACCTGCCACAGAAAGCCCTGGATAAACAGTGCATCACTGTCACAGTTGGCATCAGGCTGAATGCTGCAGTCATCCAATGACCACAGTTTTGCGCGGCAGTCATCATCACAAACCATGCCTGACTCCTCACTGAGAAGCACCACCCACCCCATGGTGTGAAGGCCGGCACCTTACCCGCAGGGCTGTGGTGAACTGGGCTTCTGCGTTGTCCATGCAGTTGACGGAGACACAGTACAGGCCCTGGAAGAAGGAGGCGCTGAGGGCTCGAGGCCGCACTGCTTGCCCAGGGCCGCTCAGCTGCACCCAGACGAACCTGACCAGTGACTATGAGCCAGCTACACCTGAGCCTTTGCCTTGGTGAGGAGGCAGAAAGATGGCACACTGAGTTATTCCCCCCTCCCGGGACCTAAGTCAACTTGGACTCGAGGTGCCTGTCGGAATGAAACCCATTGGGAATGTTCTGGATTCTACCTGGGGTGACGGTCACAGGGCTACTCACTGGAATGGGGCTGGGGTGGGCAGGCCCGTGTACTCACCAGCAGCGTGTGCAGCTGTGCTGCATGGTTGGAGAAGAGCCGGGGTGACTGCTGGCACAGCTGGCAGACCTGGGAGATCTGCCGGAAAAGAGCATGCCCGACGTCACGGGGTCTGTAACCTAGGACCTGGTGTCCACATCCTGCCTGCCCTAACTCAGCACAAAGTTCCAGTGGCCTTCCCCGTCATACGGGCAGAGGGCAGCCATGATCTCCTTGAGGACAGTGACCCTTGTCTATGCCCTGCCTTCTCCTCCCTTTCCAATGTGTCTCAGTCGTCAGCACGTTTGCCCTGCTCAAGACTTTGTGCCCTCTCAGGAAGATGGGCAGCAGGGGTTACATGGGACAGAAAGGAGATCACCATCAGGGGACCTCAAGTCCCCAGACCCCATATTCTTTGGACATGTGAACTTTTAGGAAAAGGCCCAGTGATTTCTGTATCAGATTGTCTGATCAACTGTGCCCATGCAGGGTCACAAACTGTCAATGAAATGACATGGATGGATGTACTGATGATGCTCACTGGACAAATTTACATTCTCCTAGATGGTGACTCCTGAGACTCGGTGAACGTCAACCACCTACCCCGCATATGTGTGGTCCCCAGAGGCCTCACCTCTTGCAGCGCAGTGGCCTTGTGTCCTGTGACGAGCCTGCACATGATGATGTGCTCAAGCAGAATCACTTGGAAGGAGGACAGGATGGGACTGCAGTCGAGCACTGGGGGCAAGAGGGCAGCGAGCACTCAGATTGTGGCTGGAGAACGTGAAGTCGCTGACCACCATGCAGACCCCTCGGCTACTGGGTCTGAGCCTACTTGCTCTGCTGGGCAAGCACCAGCCCAGCACCCAGCCTATCACGTCACTCATGCCCACTATACACTTGAGAGGTTCGTCTCCCTGTGCAAGTGGGGAGAAGGGCTCACAGCAGGTTCTGGTGACCAGAGTGTTCTAAGAGTAAGAAATCCCTGGAGGGACTTGTTTTCCACCCCCACCCACCACGACCCAGCTTCATGCTCAAGGACATCCCGAACACAATGGGTTCTAAAAATGTTGATGTTGCCCAGAAGACTGTGTTTAACAGCATCAGGAAGAAGTGGGGGAACCTGGTTCCTGGCTGCCTCAAGCGGCTGTCCTCATGTTGGAACCAGACAGCACAGCCCTTTCCCAACTCAGCTGGAGGGAATGAACTGCGATCCCTAAGGGCTTTGGTTCTCTGGCTTATGGCTCCTCCCCCAGCAGCACTGATGAGGGCATAGGGAATGGGAGAGCAGGTTAACGGGTCACGGGGACACAGAACTAGAGCTTTGGGTTCCTGCTAATCAAAGGTCCCTGGTCCCATAAGATGGATTAGTCAAGCATCCAGGAAGAACCCACAACCTTCAGGGTATACACTGTCAGTCAGCAAGAACCAAGTTCCAACCCCGGTCTCACCCTGAGCACAATCCACATCACAACACTGATAATAGCAGATATGAGCTGTTTCAACTGAGCACTGCTGTCTCAGCAGGACCTGGTGGGATCCTGCTGTCACAACCATCTTGTGCAGTGGAGGGGACAGAACAGAGATAGCACAAGTACCCTGGCCAGGGATCAAGGGTCAAGTTCAGGCCTGGCCTGCTCTGCCCCAAACCTAGGCCACCCCTATCTGCCAACTGGGGTAACAAGACCCACGGGCAGAGACTCATGGGGACCATTTGGCACTATAGCTCTCCAAGGTTCTTTAGGCCCAGCACAGAGGTGGCAGTCAGGCTGTCCATTAGGGGGCGCTGTGGCCACGCGACCCACCTAGCCCAACTTACTCTTGAGCTTCTCCAGCTGCATGAGGGCCTTGTCTGTGTACTTCTGCGCCTTCTCCAGGTAGCCAGCCTGCATGGAGTGCATCACGGTCACCTGGCGACAAGACCAGATGGTGGCGGTCACCAGGGCCCTCTCCTCACCTGCTTGGGCCCCGGCCTCGGCCCCAGAGGCTCACCAGGTACACGAGCACACACATGTGCTCCTTGGGCAGCCAGTGGAAGAGGTCGGCAGGATTGCTGGGCAGGATCTCGTCATCATGCAGCGTGGAGATGGTCTGGATACACTGCTGCAGCTGTTTCAGGCATGGCTTCACGCTCTTCACCTACAGCATGCAGACGGATATGCACACCTGAGCATTCGCTCACTCCCACCAGGTGCCAGCGTACCGACCCCTTCTTCTCGGGAGCTTCTGCCATGCCCACCACCTGCAAGAAGCCCTCCTCTAGATGGATCAGCAGGCTCTCAGGGTGCAGGGTCAGGGTCAGGTGGGTCATCTGTGGGCCTGAGGCTCAGCCACTGCCCAGTGCTGGGCCCTACACCAAGGCCCAGGAGAGGTCTGTCCAAAGACCCTGCTTGAGCCACGTTTCCTCCTTCCTGCAGTGACCCTAAGAGGGCAGGATAGGGCTGGAGCAGCTAACAATAATCCTCAGGGGTGGGAAATGGCCTCTTGGACCCAGGAGTCATGCAGGCACTGTGGCTCATAGAGACTGGCCTCTGGGCACTGGGAAGCCCTGTCGCAAGGCCCCATAGGACATCTCCACAGCAGTTAGCACCCATGAGTCTACTCAGTGTTCCTATACATTGAGTATGACACTTGGCCCAATAGGCAAAGATGGGCATGGTGGGTGAACTGAGGTAGCCCCTTACCAACGAGGCCTGCTTGGCACTTCCTGGGGCTCCACGTGCATCCTCCTAGCACATAAGAAGCCCAGCCTATGGTTGGCCACTGGGATGGAGTGGGATGAGGAGGATGGAGCTGCAGCCCCAAAGGCTGAGACATTCACTCATGTACAGTACTGCCACTCCTCACGGGGATTTTGGACTCAAGTCTCAGACACAGTTGATCAGGTCAGTCCTACTCAAACCCCACAAAGCTCTCATCAGCTGGGGGTGGTAGACAGACTCTGCTTGAACACCTGCTATGCTATCAGGCACCTTGCCAGAATCCTCACCGTTTATTCTCATGGATCCCCCAAGCTGCCCTTAGAGACCTTCAACTGCTCACGCACTAGTGAATGTGTGAAGCCATGACTAATCCCACCATGAAGGCAGACCATCCTCGGAGTGACCTCTGCCTGCATGGGCACAGCACTCATGGCAGAGCATGACAGGGTATGTGGAGGACCTAAATCCTGAATGAGATACACTTTTGTGGCAAGGGACAGGAGGTGACAATAGAGCAGGTGTCTCGGCCTGAGCCCCGCCACTGCCTGCCCGCTCCCCAGCAGCCCTTCGGTGGGAGGCACTACACACCTGCCCGGCATCCAGGTAGTGAGTCACCTGGAGTACCAGGAAGAAGACGCGCAGAGACTCCTTCTGGATGGGGTTCCCCTGCCAGTTCTCGACAATCTGTCCACAGAGGGTCAGCAGCGGGTGAACTTCCTGCAACTTACGTTCCATCAGCAACAGCTGGGGAAGGAGAGGTGTAGGCGCTGAGATCCCCTCCTGGTGCACAGGGCCACCATCTGCCTGCCCACCCACTGGGGGAGTGCTGGCACCATGCAGACAGGCTGCAAAACCAAGCTGGAACCCGGGTCCAGGCTGCTCCCTCCTTGGCACAAACCCCACAACCTCGAATCTAAATTCCATCTCTGAACCAAGCCACGGCACAAGGGCCTCGCTCTTGTGGCTGTCCACTGTGCTTAAGGGTCTGGGTGCCCAAAGGGCTGCACCACGGGGAGTGGGAGCCCAGCCTTGTATCTACCACACCAGCCCCGTCTTGTTCAGCCTCAACTTACCATCCCTTTGCTGAGCAGGAACAGTGCCCTGGAAAACAGAGAGAGGGAGTCAGTCTGTGAGGCCCAGGCGCCTCCTGGAATGACTGTGCCACCTCAACGTTCACAGGGACCAACGAGCTACCTCGAGGAATGGTTAAGCAGATGACAGCAGCTCCCGGCGTCCCCCAATGAGGCTGGTTTTACTTACAAGACTGCTCTTTGTGCTATTCGACTTTCTTTACTTTTTTGGACTAATTTAGACACCCATGTGGCTCAAAAGCCCAGAAGGCATAGGCGGATGCTCAGGAAGCACAGAGTGGCCGGGTTAAGGATGGCAAGTCCGCCATAATCTCACCCTCGCTGACACAGATCAGGGTTCTTTATTGGTGGACAGCTTAGGGTGGGGAGGGCGGGTGAGATGGCAGGCTTGGGAATCTGAACCCAAATCTGCACCTCACTATGGCCCCTCGGTGCCTCCCTTTCCTCGCTTGTGACTGGCTGAGCCCCCTCAGGTTCTCCTGAGCATTTAGGGGGTGAAATCAGGGAGAGCCCCAGTCACACCACTTCCCATCTCCACCTGCAGCAGGCAGCAAGGCCAGATTTCTATCGTCTCTCTTAAACCTTTCTGCACTTTCTAAAAGTGTGCACTGTTGTCATCACCAACAAAAATAATAAAATGAAAATAAAATAAAAAGTTTTAGGAAACAGCCAAAACGAGGGAGGAAGCAGGGGAGGCAGTCGCTGCCTTTAGGAATAGCTGTGGTCATGCAGGGTCCACAGGTCCCAGTTTAGTTTGTTCACCATCTCAGTCTCTGTCCTGCCAATCTTGGCAGAGCCCGTGCACTGTAGGCGACACCCCATCAAGTGGGCACAGTTCTCCCCATTTTATGGATGAGGAAACTGAGGTGGGGAGGTCAGTCACACAGCTTGCAAGATGTTTGTGCCCTAATCCACCGCACCATTCCCTGTTGTTACCTTGTGCTGTGGACATGCCAGGTCTACCTGCTTGCTGTACAACCGTTGAAACCTAAGGTTTGGAACTTCACATCAAGGTTCCCATGTTGTCATACAGGAAGCACTCACTCAGAGGCCCTACATCAATGGTTGGAGATTCTGGGCCAGGCAACCTGCAGGCCCTGTGTCTTGGTGGAACCCACCTAAGACCTGCCCACAGTGGCACGGGAGCCTGTCTAGGGACACACTTGAGTGAACATGCACAGTGTGCAGCCATCTCTGTGCCCTGCAAGGTGTGTCATTATGGACCCAGTGACAGCTGCAGCATGAGGGGGCCAGGAAGGGCAAGGAATATGAGGCCAGATTGTGTGACAGCTGCTATCTCAGGGCAGGGTGGTCAAGGGACGAGGACAGCCTATGGAAAGCTGTGTGGCGCCGCATGGGCACTTGTAAGTCTAGAGCTGAGAGAATGGAGTTGGGAGACTATTCTGCCCCAACAATTCCATGGGATAAGCTCAGCTCTGTAAATAGAGATTTCCAGAACCCCAACACAAACAGAATAAGCACTGCTGCCTTTTCTTTGACGGGAAAAAGAGACAGACTAGAGGCCTTTACAGAGTGCACAGTGAAGTGCCTATGATCTCCGACCCGTGACCCCCAACCTCAGGGCACGAGTCTACAGATGGTCTAAGCAGTTTTGTGCATAACATGAACCTATATGCCTTCTTTTATATAAACGTCCGCCTTCTCTGTCTGCTGTTTTGCATCTACATGTTCCTTGGGGTCCTGAGAGAGACACTAGAGTTGCCTAAGATGCTGCCAAGCAGGCCACACACACCTACAGGCACCGTCCTTGTATCTGCACCACAAACGGCATCAGCCCAGCAAATCCTACGAACAGTTTTTATTTCAAGAGATAACAGAAACTGCAAGTGCCAATTGTGCTGAGAATGCCGCCTGCCCCTCACCCACACAGACGACTCTCCAACTTCATGAATCAATGGGGCAAAAGGCATCTGGTGATGCTTTAATTTGTGCATCTCTTACTGCATGTGAGGGTGACCACTATTTCATGCTGAAATGCCAATTCTGTTTGTTGTCCAGGATCAAGATGGCTGAGTTCTTTCCAAGTAAGAGGGTGGTGTGGGAAGAGGGTGCCTACCGTGTATACTCGGATCCCACCACCCGGGCGTACTCGGCTCCCACGCCCAGGAGGTCACAGGCCGACACCAGGTCCTTCTCAAGTGTGTGCAGTTGCTGAAAAGGAGGGAGAGCAATGATCCTTGCTTCCAAACTGCTAGCGTTACAGTACCTAGTATCTGACCTTAATGCTTTGTTGGTAAGTTAAACTGAACCTCCTCACCCATCAACAAAATTGTGTCCGTTTTGAGCTAAATTAACCAAATCATGTCATCAACATTAATTGCTTTGGGTACAGAACTCCACTCTGCCTACAGTGTACATCATCTAAGCTTAATAGTGCGTAAGCTAGCAGTTAACACTCACAGGCAGATACCCAGGGCTGCATGAGCGTGTCTGTGTGCTTTGCAGGTCGCCTTCAGAGGCCGGTCACTGGGGGAAGCCAGAGGGGCCCAAAACAAGGAGGGACTCTTTAGGGGAAAGTGTCTGAGGAGTTTCAAACCCAGAAGTCTTAACAGGCTAAAAGGAAGCGACACCTGTGGGGCCTCGGTCGAGCTTGGGCTCCCAGGTGCATGCACGCAGCACCCTTCAACTCTGTGACCTGAGGCAGGTGCCTCACTGCCTGGCCCAATTCCTATCTACCAATGAGCAAAGCACAGCACGCAAGGGAGAATTTAAGGAGACAGTGCTGTGTGGGGCAGCAACAAGTCAGGAGAAAGGGCTCAGGAGCACTGGCTGGGTGAACTCTTCCCAGCAGGGGGCAGGGAGTGGTTCCAGTTGAGGGCCCACACCCTGCATGCAAGGCAGGTGATAGGACTTCGTCAGGGAGGGTGGGCAAGAGGTGGTGTGGAGGGTAGGCTAGGTCAGGGACAGGAGAAGCTAGCGGCCGGCAGTAAAGGAGGAGATGTGGGCAGCACCCAGGACAGAAGAGGTACCCCTCACAGTGGTGTCTACCCACATCCAGAGCCTTCAAGCCCAATCACTACAGCCAGGAAGGTCCATCCCAGGCAGCCCCCTCTACCGGAGCATTTCAGAATGCTGGGACCAGGGCACTACCTACATCTGGAGAACTGAAGGGAGATTGGAGGCGGGGGGACCACGTGGAGCCCAGGTAAAGCTGTGCTCCAGCAGCCCTGCAAGGGCTCGACTCAGGCATCCATTGCCCAATAGACAGCCCCTTGTAATCTTAGTGAGGCTCTGAAGAAACATAGTGGGCTTCTGGCAAGAAATGCTTCCCAAATTTAAATGAACACAGGCCAAAGGGAGCACAAGGAGGGAGGAGGATGCAATGACATGGCCCCTCTTAATTGGCCCCCCAGGAGACAGGCACTCCCACCAATCACCCCAGATGCTGAGCGAGAGAGAGTCTGGGCTAGGGATACTGTTGAGGACAAAAGCTGGAGGGGACTTGTGAGCAGGCTAGAGAACCACCCTATGTCTCTATCCACTTGGTGCAGCAGCCTCAGGAGGGCCTGTATATCCTGGAGTCTGCCTTTATTCTACTCAGGCGGGTGTGCCCCAAGGTCATGGCCCCACCCTGCACCCACGTGTCTTGGCCAGGCCCATAGTACTCACAGCTAGCTGGAAGAGCAGGCGGCAGTGCCAGTATGGGGTCTGCTGTGAGATTTGGATTGCTTTCCGCAGCAGTGGCTTTGCTGCATCGACGGAATTCTGAAAGGAAAGTTATGTTTGGGAAGGAAAAGAAACAAGCCTGTAGGCAAGTTGGATTCCTTCACACTCAAAGGATGTGTGGGTTGCTGATTTACTTTATTCAAAGAAAAAAAGATATTTTATTGGACTCACTGGCTGGGAAGTTTTTACATTGCTCTTAAAATAACTCATTCAACTAAAATGAAAGTAGCATTAGTTTAAAATCTTGAACAAATTGGATGGCAACTGCCATTTTTCTTGTTCTGCAACAAGAGAGACGGGCCTGGGCTGTGAAAGACACACTCCCTGCGGCCCAGGGAACCTCACATGCCACTGCTCACAGGGAGGAATCGCAATTTTCAGCTACACCTGAGATCAGGAACCAGGTTAAGAAGATAAACTATATGAACTGGTTCAGGAACTAATCTTCTTTAGCTTAGAAATAAGGTTGTTTTCCAGCAGTCTTTGGAAAGTCTTAGAAAAAGATTCTGCTGGCCCTTTTGAGCAGGTGATCACCCATGGCCATCCCATGCCAGGGTGAGGGAGGTGGGAAAGTAACGGGAAATGTTAAAAGCCAGAAGAGAGTCCACTCCTGAGAACACCAATTCACCATTGTGCCTTCTTCACTAGTGGGAGAAGGACTCTGCTTTCAGGAATCGTCATAGGTTCTTACCTCTTGACAGTATAATTCAGACAAAAGACTGGCTGCTTCAAATTTAACATCTTCAAACTGTGGGATCTAGTGACATCAGGTTAAGGAAGTACAGATGCTGCAAAAAGGTAAGTTTAAAAGGAATAAAGCATGGGGTTCTTACACTGCAGAGGTTCACCAGTCAGGCACATCCCCACCTGCTCTGAAATCCCAAGTTCACCTATTCCCCCGGAAATCCCTGAGCTTGCTGCTGGCCAGGTGTGGAGCTGGATGCTTGGAGCATGAACAGGAGCATGGCACCCAGGAAGCCACTTGTCTGAAGGGGCAGCCACAGCCCAGCAGGGATTCTCCAGGTGGTCAGTGGGGCCAGGCCTAAACCCACCGGGTGCACCATAGCGGGGATTCAACTTTGTAACACATTCTTTTGATTTCAATGGAGTATTTCTTAAAGGGAATGGTTCCAAGAAAAGGATACTTGCTGTGATATCAACCACTGAAAGAGAAAGAGAAAAGGATTAATTCTCAGCCAAATGCTCGGCACGTGCTCACTGGCTCCATTTTAGGGTTTACACAGGTTTTCCTGTCACAAAGACTACAGGTGTTCAGTTAAGCGGGAAGGTGGCCTGTGGACTCATTTTACCTCTAATCCAGCAACCAGAGCACACCTGGGGGAGAGGGACTGAGAACTTGCTTCCCTACTGACAGGGGCTTCCTGTGGGTCCCACTAGGCTCCTGAATCAGAGTTAGAGCCCCTTCCACTAGGGCCGCAATGCTTCAGAACGGGAAGGATTGCAGAGGGGACCCTCCCCCAACAAATCATGCCACAAGGAAATCGATTACAACTGGAGAGTGGGTTTGGGGGTGTCAGTCCTTTCTGGAGAAGTGGCATTTAAAAGATGCGTGGAAATGAGCAAAGTTAGCCTGGGGGGAGGGAGGCGCACTCAAGAGAAGCGGAGTGGGCAGCGCTCACCATCCCCCTGCTGGGACACATGCGGGACACTGTTCGACCATGACACACTCCCACTTGTAACTGCTGTGCCCTGGAGTTACACATTCTGACAGGAGGCAGTGAAGTCCCGGGCCAGTCCACCACACCAACCACACTGACCATAGTCTGTCAGACCTTCCAGGACTCAAGCATTCGCCTGACACTGTTTCTGCTGACCCACTTGTCCACAAACGTTCTCATAGTCTTAGTGGTTGTTGGAAAGCAGATCTGAAGACCCTGACTTGCCATGCTCTGTGGGAGATCATCATGGGGTTGGGGGACATCTGGGACTGGGCCTGCTAAGAGCGTGCGCGTTCCTACTGAAAGGGGGAGTGGGAGGTGTCTCAAGCAGAGAAGAACCCGGGAAAAGGCAGAAGACCAGGAAGATGAGGCTGGAAGGTGTGTCTGTGCCACTCACTGGCAGCAGTGACTGTATATTACAACGCCCCAATGTCACTCATGGAGCCTGACCTAATCAGAGGAATGAAACATAAGCACCCAATGAGATCTGAGTTTTAAGAGCATCCTAAATGCAGCAAAAAAAAATTCAGAAGGAGGAGGAGGAGGGGGCAGAGAAAAAGGAGGGGGAAGGGGAGGAGGAGGAGGAGCCAGAGACTGGAGGCCCCAGGGGCTGCAGGCTGGAAAGGAGGGCAGGGAGAGGGACCAGTGAAACCTGGGGGGCATCCCTGGGGCTGGAGATGCTTTTGGGACAAGAATGAGTGGTGGATGAAGAAGTCACAAAAGAGCCTGGAAAAGACTTGTAGCAGCATCCCACACCAGCTGCCTGAAAGACATAGGTGGGCCAGGAGGGGGAGCTGTGGGAAAGGACGACAGGAAGACAGGGAGAGAGGGAGAAAGGGAGAGAGGTGGTGGTGGTGGGGGGGAGCGAGCGCACGGGTGCTAAGTGCCACTGGCCTCCTGAGTCTGGGCTCCTGACCCTCTCTCACACCCATGTACATAAGCACATGCACACGTACACACACGTGCTTGCAGAATCCAAGCAAAAGGCACTCTGTAGCTAGCCCAAGTGTCCCCTCCCAAAGACCCACTGCAGCAGAGTCAGTAGGGGCTCAGGGTCCCAGAGGGCAGGGCCAGTGCCTACTGCCAGGAATGCAGTACCAGAGGTGGGGCTCCACAGCTTGAGGCTGTCTACAGGGACAGTGGGGACCAGCCCAGCTCCAGCCACACGTGTGATGTCATAAAGCTGATAAACACAAAAGCTGGGGCTTGCTTTCTGCAGAAGCCATTCCTCCCCACAGGGAGGGGCAGTCTAGCAAGAGAAGCTCCTGAAGGCCACCAACTGGGAGAAGAGACAGGATGTGTGACTGAAGAGCTGGGTTAGGGACATGCTAAGATCTGGCCCAACCCTGATATTTTGAGATTCTGCAACTCAATCTCCACATACAAAGCCTACCTTGGGCAAGGCTTCCATGCCGAAGGGGAGCTCTCTAGCAAGAGTACAGGGTGAGGGCCGGCCTAGTGGCTCAACTGGTTAAGAGCGCAAGCTCTAAGCAACAGGATCGCCAGTTCGATTCTCACATGGGCCAGTGAGCTGCGCCCAAGCTGACCTGCCAACAGGTGGCAGGATGGTTCAGCTGGTGAGAGCACTGCTCCTAACAACAAGGTTGCCAGTTCGACTCCCACATGGGATGGTGGGCTACACCCACCTGCAACTAAGGTTGAATATGGCACCTTGAGCTGAGTGGCCGCGAGCTGCTGACAGGAGGCTGGATGGTAACTGGACTTGGAGCTGAGCTAGCTGCGCCCTCCACAACTAAGACTGAAGGACAACAACTTGGCTGTTTCCCTTCCCCAATTCCCCAACACTGTTCCTCTTCCCCCCGCCAAAAAAAGAAATCTAAAAAAAATAATAATAATGTGCATAAAAAAAAGAGTACAGAGTGAAGAGAACACACACACACACACACACACACACACACACACACACACACACACGAGAGGATGGGGTTGGCGGTGTGGACCCACATGGAAGAGCTGGATCCTAGTGGCCCCTAGCATCCGTTCCAATAGCTACAACCTTCCTCCATTGTTTTGCGCATGTGCTGTGGCCCCAACTTTAAACACACAAATGGGGGACATTAGATAAAACCCCATGATGCATCCCCAGTGCCTGGAACGGGCTGACAACACAGGAGGTGCTTGGGAAACATTTGTCTCATGAACAGCGACTTCATCCAGCAACACCAGGAAAGGAGAGCTTCCTTATGTGCAAATAGCCACAGAACTGAGGCTTATGCCTTTCAAACACAAAGACCTAACTCCTAAACAGCACCAGACAGCTCCCTGTCCTCAAATGTCGCTGCTTTGTGTCCAAGCATCAGCACTGGTGACACCTGGAGGCATCCCCATGATGACCCATTCCAGAATTGGCCCCATGTCAGGGCAATCCAGTTACTTCCCCAGGATTGTCAATCAGAAGCCAATCAAATGACTCTGTTTTTATAACTTGACACTTGCGACATAAAATCACAAATCAAAAACATAGACATCAGGAAATATATCCATCTCACAAATAAAGTACCACGGTTGCTACCTTACCCAAAATTGCTACACCATCTGTATGCTTAAATTCGTAACATTACAAAATAGCTTTTGTTTCCTTCCTTATGATGGGAAAGCAGCCCAAGTGAGAGCCCCTGTGCTACCTAGAGGCCTGCAGGTGCAGGAAAGGATGTGAACAACCATACCAGAAGTTCCTGGGGTCACTTTGGGGTTCTCAGAGAAAGCAAGGGTCAATGCAGCACCAGCATGCACCCAGAGGGGTGGAAAGGCCTGGATGAGCACACCTCTCTAAATACTTAAAGGATTCGGACCAGAGCTGAGAGTATTTTAAGCTTTTTTGCTCCTTGAAACCAAAGTAACTTTTTAAAAAGATCGCCTCCTTCTGCTGTGTGACCATGGCTACAAGCATCCCCTTTTCAGCATTGTCACCAGCAAGTTGAAAAGTAGTCCCCACCTTGTGGGTTTGCTGAGAATCCAATGAGACAATGAGAAGCACAAATGTGTGGCCTGGCACATGGAAGGTGCCAATAATACTATGGTAATTCCCAGGCAGGAACCAGAAGAATTGGGGGTTGGAGGGGAGGCAGGGGGCAAGTCGGTGAACCCGTGAAGTGGTGGTTCCTACACAGATTTCACATCCTGAAGTCAGAGACTCAGAGAGTACGAGTGAAGAAAATGGAAAGAAAAAGAGGAGGAAGCACAGATCACTTTTCCATGAAAATGCTTAACACCAAGGTCTGCAAATGCAGCTTTTGCACAAGGTTCTGCTCCAGGACGTCCTGGATTATGGGGCATGACCCAGTCATGATCTTGAAGAACGGGATAAAGAGAAACGTGATCAAAAGTAAGAAAGTTAAAGGGGAATGTGCAAATTACTGAAATGGAACTGTCTGCTTGAAAAACAGTGAAAATAAGAGAAGACTGAAAATTCACAAAGGAATAGATGTGCAGCAAGAGGAAAAAAAATTGAAATGTAAAGGAAGGCAATCTGACAGAAACTGCAGAAACAGCTTTGCAAACTCTCTAGCCAAAAGATTTCTGAGTAAAGCGACATCCTTTATAATCACCAACTATTTCCTCAAGGAGTCTCAGAGCAGCCAAGAATACTGATGACACCGACATCATTGTCAAAGCCATAATCAAAGAAAGAAGGCTCTCAGATAAAGTGTCCTGTCACGTACTGTAATAGCTACAAGATTCTCTGAGCAGACCCAGGGAATGAGGCAGCCAGCAGGAACTCCGAGGGTCTGCAGAGGCAGGTCACATTGAGACCAATGGCTTTGTCCTCAATAAAGCTGCTGAGGAAATGGAAAAACACCCTTCACAGGAACACTTAGCAGATGATTCTTTCAGAGTTGGTAGAATTAATTAAGCAGGTGGATAAGTATATTATATCTTCCTTTTAGGAACCTTACAAATGCAGTTGAGGAGGCAGTTAGAAACTGACATTAAGCAGATAGAGGGGTAAATAACCTAGCCTTATATATAAAAAAAAATGTGGTTACCAACGAGGGTAGTGTCTCTCAGACAGAAAGCAAAAGACCATGAAAACAACAGGGGAACTGAACGTAGTAGTAAGTTCAGGGGCCAATTAAAAGGTTACCTATAGGGCCGGCCAAATGGCGCGTTGGTTAAGAGCTGGCTTGGCACGCCAGAGGGCCCCGGTTCGGATCCCACATGAGGGCCAGTGACACTGCCCTCTACAGCTAAGATGCTGAACAACAGCTCAACCTGGAGCTGGGCTGCTGTGAGTCGCCAGCGATGGCTGCAGTCCCTGCTGCAGTGGGTTGCCATGGGCTACCGTGTGTAGCCAGCAGCCAGTGTGAGCGGCCATCCAGAAGCCGGCAACTGATCTGCCTCGCCCAGGAATAGTGCAATGATGTTGCCAACTTGGGCCAGTGAAGCAACGTCCACAACTAGACTGAAGAACAAAAAGACAGCAATGTCTCTGTTCCCCTTCCCTCAATTCCCCAGTGCGGTTCCCATCCCCCAATTTCCCAATTAAAATCTTAAAAAAATAAAAAAATAAAAAATAAAAAAATAAAAGTATACCCATAGCGGGCTGGCCAAGCGACGTGTTAAGAGCTGGCTTGGGATGCCAGCTCTGAGCAGCAGAGCCCGGGTTCGGATCCCACATTGGGGCCAGTGATGCTGTACCCTCTACAGCTAAGATGGTGAACAACAGCTCGACCTGGAGCTGGGCTGCCCTGAGTTGCTGGTGACAGCATAGGCTGCAGCCCCTGCTGCAGTGGGCTGCTGTAAGCTACCGTGAGTAGCTGGCAGCCGGAGTGAGCGGCCAAGAGCCACTGTGAGCAGCCGTCCAGTGGCCGGCGACCAATCTGCCTCACCTGGGAAGAGCGCAATGATAATACCAACATGGGCCAGTAAAGTGATGTCTTCCACAACTAGCCTGAAGAACAAAAGGTCAGCAACTTGTCCGTTCCCCTTCCCCGATTCCCCAACACTGTTCCCCTCCCCCAATTCCCCAATAAAATCTTAAAAAAATAAAAAGTTTACCGATAGCACTTAGGAGGAATGATCAAGGAAAAAATCATCACAAAATAGTTGAGCGTTATTTACCTTCTTAAAAAAAAATTTTTTTTATTACTCTGGGTTGGTTCAAAAGAAATTAGAACCTCTCTGGTAATTACTCTTCAGGACTAGAAACTAGCAAATCACTTCTAAAAGGAGTACATATTATGATTTTTTTATCGAGTGAGTTTGGTAGGGAAAAGAATAAAAGTTCATTGCTGCCTGATTTGGGGAAAATGCACAATTAATAAAGAATGAAGATTAAAGAAAGCACAAAAGGAGATCACAATTTCAGAAGAAAACAGCATGGAGAATAGCACTTTATTTGAAATCTGGACAAATTCCCGGCTGGGGATGCAACCAACTGGAAGAAAGAGATTTCCAGGTGTAACATCAGTGTGAGCTATAGAGGGAACCCTGTGGCTCTGTGGAAGATCCCACAAGATTCAGAGTTCTGTAAAAACAAGGGAAAGTAATTCAACAGAACAAGGGTTTAAAACTACGGGTCCAAAATCCAAGTGGCTACCAGGAAGCAATCTGAGGCATGACTGCTTCCTCGCGACAGTGCTCACTGGGCAAAATGTGACAGTATACACAGTGACTATGAACCAGTGCTAGAATCAATGACTCCCGAAACTATGGAAGGGAGGTGGCAGGATTTGTTGTTTATCAAGAGAGGGGAGAACTTCAGGACAGGGAGTCACAGCCTCCAGGACCCCCATGCCCAATTTGTGCTTCATTTGATCTCAGCCTCATCACTGCCAAGAGAGACCCTGACACAAGCCGGTCACAGATCACCGACAGCTTGGGCCATCCTTGGGATCCACCTGACAATCCGAGCGGTTCTCCAGGCTCACTTCCTTTACCCCATTTAGGGCTCTGCTCAAATGTCACTCTCACAAATAGAAACTCCCTCACTACCCCTGCCAAAAATATTATAGTTCCCCATCAACTCCATCTCTTCTCCCTGGTCCATATTTTTCATAATTCTTCTATCACTGCCTAACCTCTTCCTACATATTCATTATTTGTCTTTCTAACTAAAAAATAAGCTTATGTGGGCAGGGATTGTTTTAGTCATCACTGATTCCCAGCACCTAGAATAGGGCTTGGCACCTGGTGTGAGCTGAATAACTATCTGTAGAATGAATGAAATAATAAAACTTCACAAAAACAGTAACTTAATTTCTTGACGTGGAACCTGGGGATCTTGAGGCTAGGTTTGAGCCCAGTTTTGTTAATAACTTGCTGTGTGGCTTTGAGCAAATCACTTTACCTTTATGGGCCCATAATGCCTTGCTCCTGAAACAAGGAAGCTGACCAAGCAAGGATTAAAGTCCCCTTCCAACTCTTTACAGTTTAAAAAACAAAGATATGGTATTCTCCCAAAGGTAATTTGTTAACAGCCCCAGGTGGGTTCAGATTTACCTCAGATCAATACATTTTTTAAATCTAAATTGATTCTGTTCAAGAATAAAAAAATAAATGGCAAATGGAGGCACAGTCTGACAGGAGCTCAGTGTTGCTGTGAGAAGAGACAACTCCACAGGCAAAAAGGGCAGAATGACAGCCACATTCCCATGTTCTTTGAAGCACCAAGATCTCACAAGTCAAGTTAGGGTGCGGAGGTGGAAATGAGGCCTGCCCTCTGAAGGGGATGGACTGCTGGACAGTGGGAGGAAGAGAAGTCACCGGTGGACACAGAGAAAACAGGAGCTGCAAGATCTGCTCCCCCACCACTGAGCAACTGGTCCTGGAATCCAGACCTCCCCATGTTCCGCCTCCTTATAGGACTTCAAATGACCAACTCTAGGCTTGGGGCCTCTGCCTCCCACCTGACTCCCCTCATCACTGGTGGGGGCACAATACCCTCCAGACACTTATCAGACTTCCGAGTCTAGGGAGGGGATGCCTTCCAAAGTTTCCTGGGAGACCGAACTTCAGATTTCCAAGGGATGCTTGGACTGTCATTTCGACCCTCCCCTATCCCGAGTCACTTCAGGAGGGAGCGTTCAGGCTGATGCTCCCGGGGCTGAGCCCTGAGAAGCTGGAAGCGGCAAGACCCACTGGCCGATCTGGGAACGTCCCCATGGCCAAACTGGTCATCTCCTCCCGAAAACGTAAAGAGTCTGGGGACCTTGTTTCTCCTCAAAAGAGCGAGGTCCTGGACCCTGCCTGTCACCACACACATTAAATAACGTACGGGGCGAGGCCCTCGGGTCCCCTGAGAAGCTGGCGGCTTTGGGGTCCTGCCGCTCGTACGGAAGTCGCACCCCGGGTACCCGAGGAGCGGCCCAGGTGGCCCTCGCCCGTCGGGGTCGCGGCCCGTCGGCCCAGGCCCCGCAGGGAGCCCGCGCCTCCTCTCTCGCGGCCCGGCCCGCGCTCACCGCCTTCTCCAGGTGGCTGCGCGCCTGCTCGCTGTTCTTGGTGTGGTGGTAGAGCACGGAGCCGAGCTGCAGGTGCGTGCGGGCCTCGATGCGCTGCGGCGGCTTGAAAGGGAACACGGCCTGTAGGCAGTGCACGCACAGTCGGATCTTGGGAGGGCTGGACGTGCGGAAGTGCTCGGCGAAGCCCAGAAGCGCCAAATACCACGACTCGGCCGCCTCGGCCTGCGCTGCCTGGGCAGCCGCCGCCTGCGCCGCTGCCGCCGCCTGGGCCGCCATTTTGGCCTCCACAACAACAAGCCGTAGCCACAGGGAGGCGGAAGCAGGCGAACGGGGCGGGGCTGACGCTCCTCACGTCTCTCGCGAGAGCTGCCGCACAAAGCATCCTGGAACATGTAGTAGTTTGTATTTGGAGTGGCTGAGACTCCGGGAAAGTGTTTGAAAAGGCGAAGCCATCTGGTCCACGAGACTGAGACCAGACATTGCTGATAGGCTGAGGTTTGAGTTTCAGCTGAGAAGACTCCAGGTATCCCCGTAGTGGCAGGACATGGCTGGCCGAGGCAGACTACACCTCCCATGAGGCCATGCGCAGTATAACAAGATCCCCCTCAGGTGGCGCCGGAGCATTGTGGGATTGGATGAGTCTCAAGATGGACAACCGGGATGTTGCAGGTAACAACCCCCTTCTCCCCTCAAGCTCCCGCCTGCATCCCCGGGCTACGCGTCACCGCTTCTTCCTCGGATTGGGCCTGCCTTAACCCGCCGGGCCCTCACCTCAGCCTCGGGGCTGCACGAAGTGGCGGATTCTGCACCTCCCGGTTCTCCCGAGACCCCAGACCCAGTTGCTGCCCCCTACCCCGGGCCTGATTTGCTGAGGGCGTCTGGTTTTCCGTAGAGGCCGCCACCGGCTCTGCCCTGCATATGCCTCAGGGCTCCTCCTCTCCCCAAAACAACGGCCCGTCTTTTTGTAGCAGCTGCCGTCTGGCCTGTGTGCAGCTTTCTGGAAAAGCTGCTTTCCCGAAATGGTTTCTGATATTCCTGGATGCACACATTCCTGAGTTTTTCGAGCCCCTACTTTACTATAAGCCTTGCCCTTTGTCTTGCCCATCTCTAGCCCCCTCAAGACTGAGATGCATTCACCCATTCAGCAAATACTCACTGGGTGCCAGGCACTGTGCTGAGCACTGGGAATGCAGTGGGAATCAAAACAGGGTCCTCCCTTACTGAAGATTACTTTCTACTGGGGTATCAGGCAATGCACCAAGAGGAAATATTTACAGAGAGAGAGTTATGAGGTGAGAGAGTATTGTTATGGGTGGAGGCTGCTAATATTGGGTGGTCAAGGAAGGCCTTTATGAGCTGAAGACCTTTGAGAGAAGGAGGCCTGGGGGGCAGAGCCTTCCACCCAGAGGGGGCATGACAAGTGCAAAGGACTTGTGGTGGGAGAGGCTTGCCATTTTGCAGAATGTCAGGATGAAGTGGAAATGGGAAGGGGGGGACTATCTGTGGCAGGGCCTTGAAAATCAACTTTAAGAATTTGGATTTTGTTCCAAGTCCCATGGAGAAACTTTGAAGTGTCTACTCGATCTCCAAAGCTACCACCTGTGTCTGAAGACACCATCATCTTTTGCTTGGAACCAGAGAGCCTCCTCGTTTCCTTGCTGCCTGCACAGTCTCTCCAGTCAGTAGCCAGAATGATCTTAAAAATAAAAATACCTATTGGATCTTATCAGCTTAACACTCCCCTGTCACTTCCCAAAGACCTTAAAGTAAATCCCAGACTCCCTTTCTTGCACCCTTGTTCCTGGAGCCATTCGTTCTGGCCACATTGGACCCTTGCTGGTTGTTGGATTTACCAGGCTTCTTCTAGCCTTGGGTTTTTGCATCTGCTCCTTACTCTGCCCAGATCTCTCCCCATGTGGCTTTTCAGGAGGCTGGCTCTTTATCTTAATAGTTTCAGCTTAAATGCCCCTGTTCTAATGGTTATTTTCTGGCTGTCCTAGCTATAGGTGCTCCTCTATTATCCTTCCTCACCTTTTTTTGGTTTGCAGCAGAGAGCTCTTACCACAATTTTGCAGCTACTTTTTGTTACAAGTCTGTTGTCCTCCCAGCCAGAGGTGAGTCCCCCATGGACAGAGACTCTCTCGTTTAGCAACTCATACATCATCTGGTACATAGCTCGGTAAATGTTTGCTGAATAAATGAACGAATGGATATAGGAATGTCAATTTTAATGTCAGTAGCTGTAGGCAGCAGCTGCTGGGCATGTTGATTAAACTCAAGATGTGCTTCTTTTCCCTCCCCAGGAAAGGCTAACCGGTGGTTTGGGGTAGCTCCTCCCAAGTCTGGAAAAATGAACATGAACATCCTTCACCAGGAAGAGCTCATTGCTCAGAAGAAGCGGGAAATTGAAGCTCGAATGGAGCAGAAAGCCAAGCAGAATCAGGTGGCCAGCCCTCAGCCCCCGCATCCTGGCGAGTAAGTGCCCCCAGGCTGGATTGGAGTCCTTTTTTTTTTTTAAGATTTTATTGGGGAATTGGGGGAGGGGAACAGACAAGTTGCTGTCCTTTTGTTCTTCAGTCAAGTTGTGGAGAACATTGCTTCACTGGCCCATGTTGGTATTATCATTGCGCTCTTCCCGGGTGAGGCAATTGCTCGCCGGCCATTGGACGGCGGTTCACAGCAGCTCATGCCGGCTGACGGCCACTCACGTCGGCTGCCAGCCACTCATGGTAGCTCACGGCAATCCACTGCAGCCCCACCGCAGCCTACATTGTCACCGGCAACTCACGGCAGGCCAGCTCTAGGTTGAGCTGTTGTTCACCATCTTAGCTGTAGAGGGCTCAGTGTCACTGGCTCATGTGGGATCCAAACCAGGGCCCTGCTGCTCAGAGCTGGCACTCCCAATCCAACTTGTAACCAGTGTGCCACTAGGCCAGCTCGGGCCAAACCAACTCTTAACCACGCACCACTCGTCCGGCCCTGGATTGGAGTCTTAGAGGGTCACGGTGTATCTGCACCCAGCCACAGCCTGATGGGGCAAGGAGTGACACAGGTGCTCTCTTTTAGGAGACTTAATGTGGCAAGAGAGACGTGAAGGGTGTGTGGGGGCCCAGAGGATGGCCTACCAAGTCTTTAACTCAGCAGTTATTTACTGCTGGCAAGCTGTGAGCCTGGGGCTGGAGGTGTAGCACAGAGCAAAATCCCAGACTCCATTGCTGCCCTTATGGGGCTCCACTAGCAAAGGGGGTGCCAGTTCTACCCCCAGAGCTATCAGTGGGTAACATGAGGCAATGTGTTCCCATGTAGGGGTGCACAAGAGGCTCTGCATTCAAAAGGCCCAGGCAGAGCCAGCCCGTTGAGGAAGTAGAGAAAAGCCGCCTGGCAGAGGGCAGGAGGCGGGGAGAGCCCCTGTGTCAGACAGCCCCAGTGCTGCAGCAGAGGGGCTTTTCCAGAACCAGGTTGGGGGTCGTTCAGACAGGGTTACCTCACACCTGTCCTGAGAAACGCTGCAGGCACCCAAGAGTTTTCAGCAAGGGTGCCAAATTCTAAGAATTTCAGACCAGAGACGGACAATCCAAGAGGCAACCCCTTCCTTTGTAACCTGAAGTGTGGATCGTGCTAACCCTCCACAAAGTTCTGTCCCAGTTCCTACCTTTTCTAATAGCCTGTAACTTCTTGAGGGCAGAATTTAGATCTTACTCCTGGTGGAACCCAGGGCCTGTCACCTCCAGGGCACCCTGGAACGTGGGGACTGGATGTTGAGTGAGCTGTCAGTGGGTGGGCTCTTGCCCCTGGAGTTATGGAAGGACGAGCACCAAGATGGGAAAGGCCTATAGGATTGCTTCCAAGAGGGTCTCCTAGAGGCTGCGGGATCCCAGTGCCAGGTACAGGCAGCCAAAAGAGAACATCAGGTGGTGGGTGCGTGGTATAGGTTGCTATGTAAATAAATTATAAAAGCATCAAACTAATAATTAAATTTTCTTACTGAAGAAACAGGAAATATTCAAGTTGCCTCAAGACAACCATTTTGATAATATTCCCTTTCTACATCTTTGCTTTGTTTCACAAAGCTGTGATCAGTTTCATTGCTGCTTCCTTCCCCCTGCCACTTTTTAAAAGAAAAGCTTTTCCCCACATTACAATTCTGTAGAACTTTCAGTTTTTAAGTTTTACTTATTCTTATTGAGATATAATTCACATGCCATAAAATTGACAATTTAGTGATTTTTAGTATACTCACAGCATTGTGCAACCATCACCACTATCTAATTCCAGAACATTTTTATCACCCTGAAGAGAAACCTCATACCCATTAGCCGTCAGGCCTCATCCTTCCTCCCCCAGTCCTTGGCAACCACTAATCTACTTTCTGTCTCTATGGATTTATCTATTCCAGATATTTCATATGATATTGTGGCTTTTTTGTCTGGTTTCTTTCACTGGACATAATGCTATCAAGTTTCATCACACTGTAACATGTGTCAGGACTTCATTTCTTTTTATGGCCGAATAATATTCTACTGTGGATCGGCCACGTTTTATCTGTTCAGCACGAGCCAGCCTTTTTAACAGCTGCATAATAGCACTACTGTTTGTTTCAGGTGGTTTTTGTTTGTTTGTTTGTTTTCCCTTTTAAAGATTTTATTGGGGAATTGGGGGAGGGGAACAGCGCAGGGGAACCAGAGAAGGGGAACAGACAAGCCGCCGTCCTTCCGCTCCTCAGTCCAGCTGTGGAGGACGTCGCCCCACCGACCCATGCCGGCACCATCACCACGCTCTTCCCTGGGAAACGCAGCCACTCGCCGGCCATTGGACAGCCTCTCACGGCGGCCCACAGCAGCCCACGAAAGCTCACGTCAGCTGCTGGCCAGCCCCGCTGCAGCCCACGCTGTCACCAGCGACCCACAGCAGCCCAGCTCCAGGTCGAGCTGTTGTTCAATATCTCAGCTGCAGAGGGCGCAGCACCACCAGCCCCCATGTGGGATCCCAACTGGGGCCTCAGCTGCTCAGAGCCGGCTCCCCTAGCCAACCCCCAACCAATGCACCACTCGGTGAACCCATCAGGTGGTTTTTAAGTGGGATTCATTTGCTGGCTTGCTGCTGCTCTGAAGTCTTTTTTTGTCTTTCATCATCACCACTTTCTTCCCGTCCCTCCTGAGGGAGGTGCATGCAGTGTGAGGACATGGCCAGGATCACCAGGAGGCCCTGCTTATTTAATGCCACGGCCGATTATCAGCAGAACCTTCTCTTTCATATAAAATCACTTTTACTGCCTTTTTAGAAAAAGTTTAAAGATAATTTATAAACATGGTGGA